AATAATTCGTTCTTATTGCGAAATAGGAGCACTATTTATCAATCTGTAATAAAAGACGTGAGGAAATTCTGTCTTGTTTAAAGACAAAAATTTTTAAGGCGAAATACCCAAAAAGAAGTTTGTAAAAAAATATGCTGGTGTTGTGTGATGCTTACTTGAACTTCCGGAATCGATCCAGAACATATCCACAGCACACAGAGCCAACCATTCCAGACACGGTGATGACCAAGCCGATACGTCCGGCATCCCTGTCGGCGCCCTGAGGAGGAAACGAGTGCAAAATTCGAAACGTTTCATCAATTAAAAGGCAGTACCTCATAGAACGTCAGAATGATCTCGCTGAGCAAAGTGGAAATGGCGTAAAACACACCAACGTTGATACCATAAGCCAGCAGGAGAAGAACGAAGCTGCGGTTCTTCACGAGGTTCAGCAGCGACTGCACGAAACTGGTCTTTTCTTCGTTTTGGTGTTGAGCGGCATAAGAAGGTGGCGTAGGAGGACCGTTTCTGAAGACTAAGCAGCAGCATTTTAAAAGCAGACTCGGTGGTGAAAATTTCGAAAAATTGGCAGGTTTTTTCGTTTTTGTGACCCAAGGTGAAGATTTCTTCAAAAGACAAGTTTGTCTTCATCGTTTCGCATTTTTTTCGGGCAGTTTTAATAGTTTGCTGGCAACATGAGAGCAAATGTCATCTTGACATTTACCTATTAGCTATAGTCTCGATTGATGCAAGTTTTCTGACATTGACGTGCGTCCATTAGGATTTTGGCATTCTTGTTGAAAAGATTGCGGATTTTATGAAAAAGCGAGTTTCCTCTAGGGTTTTATAGCCTTTTCTTAATTGTACTGCGGAAAACTGTGGAGTGTATGAAAAATCCAAATTTCCTTTAACGTTTTGCGGTATACTTTCGACTGTCAGTGCGATTTTCACGTTGAAAACCCGATTTTTTGACGTTTTGCTGCCAATGTGTGACGTTTATCTTGACATGCACGTAGTAACTATTAGAATTGAAGTTCTCTGACAGTGACGTGGGATTGAAAGCGTTCAGAAAGTTTTCCTTGGAGTTTCCAGAATTTATGAACTCTCTAGCAATTGACCAATCGAGTTCAGAATAGAGAATATTAATGGTAAGAGTGCTTTTTCTCTAAGCCTTCACCCGAATAAGTTCTTGGGACAAAAAATTGACAATTTTCTGCATTGTTCAGGGTTGTAGTGCAAATTTGAATGAATAAAGTACAAAGTACACACGGCGAGAAATTGAAAATTTGCAATTACTTTGAAACATCGTAAAAATCGTTTTCCCGTCAACAAAATGTTATTCTATACACTTCGATTGGCAGTTGCCATCATCAACTTCGCGCATTTAAGCCAACTTTTATCAACATTCTCAAAAGCTAAAAGTTCAAATAAACAATAGCGATAACAGACGCAATTTTTAAATCACCCCCGTATAAAAAAAATAAACTTAATACAATTGAACACAAAACGAAATAATCATGGGGATTTTACCGACTTAGTATCTTTATTTTAGGTATAAAGCGAACAATTAATCTAATTTTCCTTTTCCTGTATTAGCGATCGATCAAGCAATTTATACTGCTCATAAAAATCGTGACGAAATTAATGATATAACAATTAAGCCGATTATTGAAATTAATAAAATCAAACGTAATCGATCTAATCGCGGACGAGATTTACGCGGGCAATTGACTTTCATCTAAACAATTAGTTGTTGGAATAGTACTGACAATGTTTACTTTGGAGTCTCTATCGTAATTATTTCAAATCGGCTCGTCGATAATAGTTTGGGGAATTTATCTCTGTAGATTATGAACAAGTCGTTGATACTCGATAATGAATCTGATTTATTATCGCGGAACAATTAATTACCTGCCGATTTCAATCACTTTCAAGACATCCGAGCCCCGAATTAAGCCACTGCGGAAATACTTACAGATCAAAATCAGCACCAGTAGAGTTGATGTTAGAATGGCAACTCCGAAGAAGAGAATATAGAGCTGTTTGGTCACTTGATCGGGTGATCCTCCGGTGACTATCATAGGAGGGATGACAAAACCGGCAGCAATTCCAATCTGGAAAATGCAAAGTTTCTCTTTTAGTCCCCAATTTAACGTAGGCTCCAAATACATCGGAGGCTCAGTTGAGTGGAGATTTCATCATCTACCTTTTGATGACTGTTTATTGCTTTGCATCTTTATCTGCCATAAATGTGTACATTATCAGCGGGTTATTGTGTTTGTTTCATCCACTTACAAGATTTATTTATGCTTTTTTAATTAGCTTTGAATGAACAATATGTTGCAATGGAAATATTGGAAAAGGATTTGATGACAACGGATCATCAGTCCTAGAAGCCTGCACAAACTTTTTCTAGTGAAAATATTTTGAATTCTTCAAACTGCTAATCTTCCCAAATGGTTGATTCTTCAATTTCTTTATTCTTCTATTCAGTTATATAATTGCTTCGTTTATGACTGAGCGATGAAAATCCCATGGGTTTTACACGCAAATGTCCTTTCAGTAGCATTTTTGGAACTTCAGCATTAGGAAAACTTAGAAAGTTTCCGACGATAGAAACAAAACGAACTTTTTATGCCAAACTTTCTCAAAAAGTTTGAAGTTCTAAAATAGTTTCCAAATACAAAACAGCGCAATTCTACAATATGACATTTCAGGTTACAAAAAGTGAGAGTTCCTCAAGATAAAAAGCATGCTTTGCTTTTACTTACTCGAAAGCGTCAAAGAATGCCAAAACATGTCAAACTTTTCTAAATACAGAGCAGCCGAACTGTTGAATTAGACATTCTGATATATAAACAGTGTCAAAAAATTTGCATTCGTTCTCTTGAAAACGTCAAAAAACGACAATAGTTCTCAAACACGGACAATTTTTCAAAAAAAAGCGAGCTTTCCTTTCTCCAATTTAACAAATTAGAACTTTTAATGCAAAAACATATCAAAACCTGAAAAACCTAAAAAGTTTATCGGCGAAATTTTTTGATAGGACGTTCCGACAGTTTCGTAAGGTAAAAAACGTGTTTTGATTTCATTGAATTTCGAAAAATCATGTCAAAATCTGATAGTTCTAAATACAAAACAGCAGCACTTGTCAGTATGGCGGGCTGGTCTATAAAAAGTGTCAAAAGATCAGAAACTTGGACATTTTAACAAGATGTTTAACAAAATGTCAGATGTATTCATTGACTCCAAAGCGTCAAAAAACGTCAATACGAAACATTTATTGCGAAAATGTTTCAAAATGTGCGAAACAAAGAATTTATAAATAAAAATAAGCGAACTTTTTCATTGACTGGAAAAGATTAAAGAGGGCCAATAGTTCTCAAGCATGGAGAATTTCTCAAGATAGAAACACGCTTTTATTTTCCCAACTAAAGAAATTAAAATTTTTAATGGGAAAACGAAAACGGATAAATACAAAAATCTGCGAAACCGAAGGAGCTTCTAAATAAAGATTAGCCAAATTCTTTGATATGAAATTCCGGCATACAGAAAGTGTCAAAAGTTTATAAACCAAGACAGTTTCTCATGATAAAGAACGTCTTTTGCATTCATCGGCTTGAAAACGACAAAAAACGTTAAAAGTTATCAGGTATGAACAATTTGTCAAAATAGAAGTTCACTTTTGTTTACAAACATGTCAAATCCTGAGGTTTCTTAAGAGTTTCTAAATAAAATCAGCGGAACTTTTCAGTATGACAGTTTGGTATTCAAAAAGTTTCAAAAGAAAGAAAAAACTTTGACAGTTTCTCAAGTAAGAAACGTGTTTTGCATTCTTTCACTCAAAATCGTCAGCAGTTATCAATCATGAACAGTTTCTGGAAACATAAGCACGCTTTCGCTTCTTCAACTTAAGAAATTGAAATTTTTAATGCAAGCACATGTCAAAATCTGACAAACGTAAAAAGTTTTTTCAATAAGAAATTGTTCCATAGAACGTCAAAAGTGTCAAAAGTTTAGAAACTTGTTTAGAAAAAATACGTGTTTTACATTGACTCGAAAACGTCATAAAACGTCAATAGTTCAGAAGAGCGTTTTCCTTTAAAAACATGTCAAAATATGGCGGTTTAAACGGATTCAAAATACAAATCAGCGGAAGTCTTCAGTATGACAATTTAGTCTATAAAAAGTGGCAAAAGATCATAAAGTTAGTTTTTCAAATTAAAAAACAAACTTTTCTTTCGAATAAAAACAACGAAAATGTCAATAGTTCTCAAGCTTGGACAAATTCTCGTGAAAGAAGCGCACTTTGGTTTTCCTCAACTGAAGAAACTGAAACTTTGAATGCCCAAACATGTCTAAATCTGAAATCTAGATATTTTAACCAAAAATCTCCGAAATTTTTACATTCACACATTCTGGAATAGAAAAAGTATTTGAAAAATGAGAAAGTTAGACAGTTTCTCAAGTGAGAAGCATGAACTAATTATCTAGATAGAAGAGAGCTTGTGCTTTATTCCACTTCTGGACTTAAAAATTTCAACCAAGATACATATCGGAATCAAAATATTTCAAATCTACATTCCTGTCGCGACTTTTTCAAGTGGTTTATCTGTCGACATTTGTGTGCTTTGAGTCATCGTTTCCAAAAAATTGATGTCATCAAGTATGTAAAGAGCACATTTCCAGATTTCTCATTGAATATTCGTAATAAAAGTCGCTCAATTGGCCTCCACAATCACCCGACTGGGCTCCACTAGACTAATTTTTGCGCTTTCAAAAAAGCTACAACTAAAAACATTTGAAAGGAATCTGAAAGTGGTTTCCAAATGCTCCCAGAACGTTTCAATTCCCAACAAAACTGGACCGGCTGGACATTTATTATTTAAAATGACCCACTTAGAAACGTCGGTTAACATCGTTAAGCAATACACTCCCGCAAAGTTGATTGCTCAACCGCAATCGCTTGCTTCCTTTGCTCTAGTTGTTAAGGCCACTGGAAATAGTAGATCAGTTCTATATTGTTGAGGCGGATTCATTTTTTACAAACTTC